AACACCATCACAACCCTGCTCCATCCCTAACCCCAAACTCCTCCATCCCAAAAAATCTGCTCCACAAGACACCACCATGACCCCACTCCATCCCCAAGGCTCAGCCTCAGCTCCCAGAGATCCTGGATGGAGCACACATTCCATGCAGTCCCTCCCGGCTCCCACAGGGATTCCTGGAGCCCTTGGGAGGGAATTCCTTGCCCCAGAACCCTGAGAGGTGGGACAGCAGGAGCCAGTACCTGGTTTCCCGGGCTGTACCTCCTCTTCTGAGCCTGCCCTCCGGAATGAGCGCAAAGCAAGAGAGAGCACAGAGCAACACGGTCACAGGGCAGAGTCCAGCAGGGCCCTGCATCCCGGGAAACCTCCTCCTGGAGCACCTCCTGCCTTCCCAGGACTGGGAGCATGGGGGGGGGTGGTCAGTGCCAAATCCCAGGATAGACGGCATGGAAGTGGCGCCAGAGGGCAAGACCACGGATGGAGTCGCTCCTTGAACCCCCACAGGCCCACAGGGAATCCCAGCCAAGCTTCCCTCAGGAATAAAATCCTTTCTTTTGTCCTTGCAAAAGCGGGAATGAGCAGCTCAGAACCCACAGAAATAGTTTTTCTTGGTGCTTGACCCCCTTCCGGCTCCTGCTCTATGTCACCCACATTCCACTAGTTATTCCCTCTAAGACCTGTTGTGTGCCACTTTATCCCATAAAAGCAGAGCTGCCACCCTGCAAATCCAAAGATACATCCAACACTTCGCTAATCCAGCAGTTTGGAAAGGCTTTTCCTGGAACAAAGTCCATCCCTGCATCGGAGCCAGTGGGTTTGGGGATTGTGATAAAAGCTGAGAGTTACTCAAGGTCATAAAATATCAGTATTGGGTTAGAGTATCACTTGGTTTTTAGGGGGAATTGGAAATGAGAAAAGACCCAACTTTGGGTTTGGAGGAACGGAAGTTTCCAGCAACAGGTTGCCCAGAGAAGCTGTGGATGCTCCTGGATTCCTGGAAGTGTCCAAGGCCAGGTTGGACAGGGCTTGGAGCAACCTGGGCTAGAAGGAAGTGTTCCTGCCCATGGCAGGGGTGGCACTAGATGGGCTTTAAGGTCCCTTCCAACCCAAACCATTCCAGGATTCCATAATTCATAACAGGGTGGGAATAGTCCAGGTTTATCCACCTCTGCACTTACTTTTCCATGGGAATGACACCACTAAACCCCAAACAACATCAGGAACACGAGGCCCTTCAGACCTTTCCAAGAGGCACCTGAGAGTAGTGAAAGGCTCCTCAGCCCTTACTCAAGGTTTACTCAGTCCCTACTCTTGGTGCAGCCCCCAATAGCAGAATTCCCAACACAAACACAGCTCCATCAACTCAGTTCTTCCTGCCCTAAAATCCCTTCTTCTGGGAAAAAGCTTCCCACAAAACCACCCCCAGCTTCTCCCATGTTCCCTCACCAGGAACTAAATCCAACCCTGTAGAAAAGCAGAGGAAGGAGGAAGAGCAGGAGCTGAGTTTATGATTCCAAAGAAAAGCTGTGTCCATAACCTTGGTGAAACCCCTCCCATTCCTCCCTCTCTGCTCACCTCCTGCTGCTTCTCCTCGTTTGGATAAGTGTCCACAAACACTCCCAGGCCCAGGAAGTTATCCTTGCTTCCAAACACAGGTCCTAGGAGGAAGGAGAGACCTTGGGATGAGGTTGGGAAGGCCAGGCAGGGTTTGTTCCTTATCGTCATGGAATGGTTTGGCTTGGACAAGACCCTAAGGACCATCCAGTCCCCCCCCTGCCACAGTCAGGGATCTTTTCCATTAATCCAGATTGCTCCAAGGCCCATCCAAGGTGTGCCCTGACCCCTTCCCATGGGATTTTACCCGGCTGCATCCTGTCCTTGGTGTACCAGATGGCAAAGCCATCCCCGTTCAGGTTCTTCTTGCCTTGTCCATGGATTTTGAAGTGCACCTGCATCTCCCAATCCCGCAGGTAACAGGGCTGGAAAAGAGGGAAGAAATGGGAATTTAGGGGGTCTCTCCTGCCAACAGTGAGGTGACAGCAGAGACTGTCCATGCCATTCCCTGCCCATCTCAACACTCCACATGCTCTCACTCCCTGTTTTCCTCACCAAAATCCATCATTCCCTGTTCCTTCACCAATATCCATCATTTCCGTCATTTCCATGTCCGCTGTGTCCCAGCCCTCTCACCCAGCCCTCCCCATTCCATCCCCGAGTCCCCCCAGTCCCGACCATCTCCTGTCCCAATCCCAGTCCTCTCCTCTGATCCCATACTGTGTCACCCCCAATCCCGGCCCCCTCCTGTCTCGATCCCGACCCTCTCCCCCAGCCCTCAACACCCCATCCTTGAGTCCCCCCGGTCCCGACCCTCTCCCCTACCTCCCTCCCCCCCATCCCGGTGCCCCCGCGGCGCCCCTCGCTCACCACGCGGTTCCACACGGCTCCTTGCTTGCTCTGCACGTCAGGGGTGAGGCGGATGAACTGGGTCATGACCATGGCGTTGCCCAGCAGGTCCCACAGCCCCGAGCCGGCCGAGCCCACACCTGCGGGCCCACATGCACCGTCGGTACCGGAGCACCGGCACCGTGCACCGCTCACCTCCCCCCCGCCCTCTCACCCTGGTAGGGCTTGGACAGCGAGTGCTCGCGCTTGAGGTGCTCCTCGGTCTGCTCGGCCCGGACCCGGCCGAGCCCCAAGGCCAGCAGGGCCAGCAGGACCATCCCGGCCCGCCACGGTCCCACCGCCGCCATCTTCCCTCCACCGCCCCCCCGCGCGCCGATTGGCTGCCCCGAGCCAATGTGCCCGCCCACTGGGGCGTTTAGCGAGGATGGTTGGTGAAGAGGGCTGTCTGTCAGTTGGGAGGGCGGGAGGCGCGCGGGCTGTGGTGGGTAATATAGTTCTGGGCTGCTGAGAACGGGAGGTACGGTGGGAACTGCAGCCCCGGGTCCTAGTGCCCCCCCCCGCCCCAGAACCTTGTGCCACTCTCCTCCAGGTCCCTGTGCCCCCACCCTAGAGGTCCTAGTGCCCTCCCATATGCTATTCTCCCACCAGCTCCTTGTGACCCCCTCCAGGCTCTAGTGCCACCCCATCTCGGGTCCTAATGCCCTCCGCCCCTCCAGGTCCTAGTGCCCACTGCAGCTTCTAGTGCCCCCCTTCTCCCGCCTTCGGGGGCGCGGTTTGAGCGAATGACGTCATTCCAGGGGCGTGACCCAGCACGTGCCGCGCGGGGGGCGTGGTCCGTCCTGTAGCTCCCCGAGCAGGGGCGTAGCGTGCTGGGCTACGTCAATCGGGGCCTGGCCGAGAGTTACTCCACGAGAGGGCGTGGTCTTGCGTGGGACGTCACAACTGAGGCGTGGCCCTCTAGTGATTCCCCGAGGGGGCGTGTCTCTTCGTGACGTCACAACGGGGGCTTATCCCCACATCTTTCCTCCCTCAGGGTACGTGACCGGAGTCGCTGCTGCCCGGGGAGAGTGTCGCGCTGCGTGACGTCACCATTGGGGACGTATCCCTATAATTGACCCGGCAGGGGCGTGTCCATGTGCGTGGCGTCACAAAGGGGACTTGTAGCTGTGTGATCTCCTATGGAGGCGTGTCCTTTTGCATTACGCCTAAAATGGGCGTGGTCTTCCTAGTTGCTGACCATGGGGCGTGTCCATAGTCCCGCCCCCTATGATGTCATCGCGCCGTGTCCGCCCCCTGCTCGCGCCGGTCCCGCCAGTGTCCAACATGGCGGGCGGCAGCGGCTGCGGGAGCACTGCCGGGGGCGGCCCCGGGAGCTCCGGTCCCTCCGCGGGGGCCCCGCTGCCCACGGGGTTCCTCCTGCCGCCGGTCCTCCTTCTCCTCCTCCTGCCGCAGCCCGCCCTCGCCACGCCCGCTCTCGACACCGTAGTGCTGGGGCTGCGGCTGGAAGGCAGCACGAAGCCTCCCGAGCCCGTGGCCGGGGTGGCTCCGGGGCCCATCCGGCTCACGGAGGGCAGCGAGGCCCTGCTCCGGCTCTACGGGCTGGGGCTGGGCCCGGGAGCCGCGGAGCGTGTGGCCTTCGCCGAGCTGAGGCCGGATGCCATCCCGGCCGTGAACGAGACGTGCGGGGAGCGCTCGCAGGACCTGCTGGTGCGGCCCGGCCCCACCGAGCCCCGCGACACCTCGGCGCTGCTGTGGCTGCGGGTGCTGCCCCTGCGCAAGCACGAGAAGGCCAAGGCCTACGTACTGTGCTCGCAGCGCCGGCCTGACCAGCCCTGGCTGCCGCACCAGGGGCCCGATGGGCAGGTGGTGGTCCTGGAAGAGAAGAAGTCCCTGCTGCCGCTGTGGCTGCAGGTGATTCTCATCGCCGCGTTGCTGGGGCTGTCCGGGATGTTCAGCGGGCTGAACCTGGGGCTGATGGCGCTCGACCCCATCGAGCTCCGCATCCTGCAGAACTGTGGCTCGGAGAAGGAGCGGCGCTATGCCCGCAGGATCAGCCCCATACGGAAGAAGGGAAACTACCTGCTCTGTTCGCTGCTGTTGGGCAACGTGTTGGTCAACACGACCCTCACCATCCTTCTGGATGACCTGACTGGCTCCGGCGTAGGCGCCGTGGTGGCCTCAACCGTGGGGATCGTGATCCTCGGGGAGATTGTTCCCCAGGCATTGTGCTCCCGGCACGGGCTGGCTGTGGGTGCCAAGACCATTCTGGTGACCAAGTTTTTCATGCTGCTCACGCTGCCCCTGTCCTACCCCATCAGCAGACTTCTGGACTGCATCCTGGGCCAAGAGATCAGCACCGTTTACAACCGGGAGAGGTTTCTGGAGATGCTGAAGGTGACGGAGTCTTTCAATGATCTGGTCAAGGAGGAACTGAACATGATCCAGGGTGCGCTGGAGCTCCGCACCAAGACGGTGGAGGACGTGATGACCCCGTTGGCCAACTGCTTTATGATCAGCAGTGATGCCGTCCTGGACTTCAACACCATGTCCGAGATTATGCAGAGCGGGTACACCCGGATCCCTGTCTACGAGGGCGACAGGGCGAACATCATGGACATCCTCTACGTGCAGGACCTGGCCTTCGTGGACCCTGATGACTGCACTGCCCTCAAGACCATCACCAAGTTTTACAACCACCCCGTGCACGTTGTGTTCCATGACACCAAGCTTGATGCCATGCTGGAGGAGTTCAAAAAAGGTAGAGGGGTCGCTGGTTCCTGCCAGCTGGAGGCAGAATTCCGGGGAGTTTTGCCCTCCCTGAGGTTCCTCATGGTTTGGGTGGTTGTGATCCTGAGGGATTGAGGCCACCTAGGGATGGACAGAGGGTCATCAAACCTGGTGTTGTCTCCAGGAATGCTTTGAGAGTGTTTCCTTGCTCCTTGTTTTTAATTATCAGCCCTGGAGGTCTTTGGGAATTCTCTCAGTTCCCTGGTTTGGGCTTGGCTCCCTCTTCCACGCTCTTCCCTGACTGTGGGAATGGTGAAAGCTCCTATCCCTGCTCTGCTTCCCACTCACGACGTCAGGGCACCGAAAAGTGGGAGCAGCAGGAGGAGGAGTGGGATGAACCCACCAGGCTGGGAAATCGCTCAGCTCCCTGGTTTTGGGCTTGGCTCCCTGTTCCAGGCTCTTCCTGGCACTTGGGAATGGTCAGGGTTTCTCTGTCCTGGCTCCTATCCCTGCTCTGCCTCCCACTCATGGCATCAGGGCACCAAAAAGTGGGACTGGGAGAATGAGTGGGATGTGAGCTTGCTGTGGGATGAACCCACCAGGCACAACAAAGCTCCCAGGAAGGATTTGCCCTCCCCAGGCCTTTCCAGCCCAGGCAGGGACCTCCTTCCCTGCCTAGCTCCTGCATGGGGCCAGGATGGAGGGAAGATCCCGGCACCATCCCAGGTCATCCATGACCCCACACACTCTCCAGCTCCTGTTACACTTTCCAGAGCACCAGGAGCAGTGTGAGATCCAGGAGATTTGCAGGACATTCCTGGGAGATCATGCACGGATTTGGGGATCCTAATCCCTCCTGGAGCCTGGGTGAGGCTTTGGGAGCTGGCACATCTAAGCCTGGCTCTCCAGGGCTGTCCCACCCCAGTCCAGCTCCAAAAAGCAGGACATGGGAGCAGAGTTGCTGCCGGATCTGGAGTTATCCCCGCTCCTGGCAGCAGCTTTCCCTCGTTGGATCCTGATTAAGGGATTTAACCACGTTCCTTCCGGGCTCAAAGCCGCCCATAACACCGAGGGCTCTTATTTTTCCACTGCTGGGTCAGGAGAAGGGAATTTGTGGGGCTGGTTTGGAGGTGAGCCCTACACATTCTTCATGGATGCAGCTCCATGGTGAGGATCTGCCTCATCCCCCTGGATCAGGAATGAGAGATGCATCCAGAGGGAATAATTAACTGGTTGTGCTAATTGTGGGGCTTGGCAGCCAAAACTCTCCCTGTTGTCACAGTCACTGGCCTTGGGGTGACAGTTTCCACATCCATGTCTGGCCTCTTCCCAACTTTCTCCTCTTGGTGTGAGGCTTTTAAGAGGGGAACTTGCCTATGGAGACAGGCTGGGTGAGCTGAGAATGTCCAGCCTGGAGAAGAGAAGGCTCCAGGGGGACCTTAGAGCCCCTTCTAGAGTCTAAAGGAGCTCTAAGACCTGGAGAGGGACTTTGAGTAAGGGATGGAGGGACAGGACAAAGGAGGAATTTAGGTGGGATATTGGGAAGGAATTCTTCCCAGTGAGGGTGAGGAAGGGCTGGGATGGAATTCCCAGAGAAACTGTGGCTGCCCCATCCCTGGAAATGTCCAAGGCCAGGTTGGACAGGACTTGGGGCAACCTGGGAGAGTGAAAGGTGTCCCTGCCCATGGCACTGGATGGCCTTTGAGGTCCCTCCCAACCATTCCAGGATTCCAAGAACACCCCATGGGGAGCTCCCTGTTCCTGTGGGGAGCCCCAGAGGGGGTCCCAGTGTCCATCACTCCCTGGTGATGCCCATCCAGGTGCCCTTTGCCTGTGGGTTTGGGCTCCCCGGGCTGTGTTTGCTGTGCCAGGACCGCTCCCTGTCCTGCTCATCCCACAGGGAGCAGCTCCTGACTCACCTCTATCCCGTCACCTGTCCCCACCATGCCCCACCCAGGCATCAAACAGGGCCATAAAGGGAGTTTAATGACCCAAACAATTTTTGGGCGTTCCCACCCCTTCAGGCACCACCTTTTTCCAGCTGTGGAAGGAGCGTGGCCAGAGAGGGAGGAAAAGGAGATCTGTGTGGTGCCCATCCCTAAAATTCCCCTTTCCCTGAGTGATGAGGGGCCTGTAGCTCTAAAATTAAGTAGTGGAGAGAGTCAGGAAGGGCAAGCTTGGAATAATGCCAGAGCAGGACACAAGTGGGACACCCTGTGTAGGCCTTGAGATGGTAAAAGTGCCTTTATTTTGGGATGCACTGAGGTCAGGGAGGGAATGTTGCCCTCTAAAAGCCCCAGTTTCCCCAGGGTAAGGATACCAGTTTTCCATGTGGAAGTGGAAACATCCCAGGAATTTTTCCTGCTTGTTTTGTGGGATTTTGGGACAAAGCAGGAGAAACTCCATTCCATGGAGCAGCTGGGGCAGGATGATGCACTCTCAGTGGTTGGGATTTAGCTGGAATCCTGCTGGAATGGGATGAGGGGAGCCCTAAATCCAGGACTGGAAGGTTTTCCTGCCTGGAAGGATGTTACTGCTGCTGGCCAGGGCCCTTGACTCTGTTCCCTGGGGTGTTTTGGCTCTGGGATCGGGTGGACACCAGGTGTCCAGAGCATTTCCTCTGGGATAGGATCAGCTTGGAAGAGCTG